CTCACCTCCTTTGATTTTCTTCTCATCAAAACACATCACTGCATCCACAGCATCGAAGAGCATCCCTCTTCTCTTCAAGGGGAGTCAATAACATAAATCACTGTGGTTCCTTTTTATTGAATTGTAATTTTTTTTTTTCATGCATATAATGGTAGGTAAGTAAATTTATAACAGTTTATTCTGATTTTGGGTGTAAGTAAACGCATGAATAGGATTGGGACTGATTCTGACTCTGATTCCTGGAACCTAAGTAAACAGCTCAATCTGACTCTGATTCCTGTCCACTCTGATTCATGTTCACTCCGATTACAGATAAGTAAACATGCCATTAATTCATTTTTTCCCGATTCTTACGGATCATATCTGCCCTAAGTTTCAAGATACAAATAACTTTAAGGGAAATTGTACATTTTTTCTTGATTATAATGATTTTCAATACCATTAATATTGTCCCTTACTATAGAATGATCCTCACAAGTATTAATACTCAATAACATTCGATGACTTTTGTAATCTACTAATCTGGTTTTATTTTCATTATTATAGGCTTATAATAATAAATTAACAATTCATCACTAATGTATTATGCAGGCCATAAGTTAACATCTCCAGCCATCAAACTTGACAACCAAAATCATTGTATTCTTTGCATTTCTCTTTTGAATTTAATTTGTTTCCTTTTTTGGTTGGGGGTCCAGACCAAACTGAGTAATCTGACTCATTCTTTTATAATTATCCAATATGTGGTAATGAGTACCTGTCCAAATAAAACTGATGGACCCCCATATCCATATTATTTTTCTCAAATTTAATATATACACACACACACACACACATATATATATATATGTGTGTATATATATTATATCTAACTTTTTTATCCCTATCTACCACTTTTGTGTATGGTTATGAGAAAACATAAGACGCGCGCTGAATTCTCCACATCTTTGATTGTGAAATTTGGATGGATGAGTTTGCATTGTTCTTATCCCATTATAATTTGCTTTCACTTTTTAATGGCCTCACATGACCCCATTCTCTTGTCCTTACCATATCTCTCTCCTTTCCCATGTCCCCCTAATCCCTTAAAACGACATCACAACACCATCTTTTTAAAACTTGTTGGCCCTATTCGTTTGGTTCCCCCTTATCATTACTATTATTATTGTTCTATGAAAAACAAAAACAATGCATTCTCTCGAAAATACTGTTAATTAGCGACTGTTTTTGTACATATTCATGCTTTGGATTGTCATGAAAGAAGTATTTTATTGACTGGAAAGTGACGGAAATTTTCTTTGCTCCAAAAGAGAGAGTGATATATGGGAAAATGAATATAGTATTTGATGTGCTTGGAAATAAGTTCTAAACTTTGGACGGTTCTCTAGTGGAATTTAATAGGTAGGACGTAGTTTTTAACTGTCAGATTTTTATCGAATCTTATTAAATTACTTTATATGTGTGTTAACATGAGATGAGTTAATGTGGTCTGATAATTAAATTATGTAGTGTATTTTTTTTCATAACTTACCGCACAAATCTGGTTAATTTTATTGAATGCCAAGAGGAAAGATCAATCTAATCATTTGATGAAAATGGCGGCTAAGGATTATCCGTGTTATCTCCAATTCTCCCAAAGGGATTCGGGGATAAGATGCAAATTGGAAAACGTTGCCTAATAAAAAGTGTGCAATTATGAGAATCAAGAAAACTACATATGCGCCAACATTAGTCTAGTCAAATAAATATCAAAGTCACATTAATTTGTGCGGAAACTAATGCTTTTATCTCTTGTTGTATCACCGATGTCTTAGTCCAAGTGGGAGTGGGTTTTGTAATTTAGACGATGTTGGGTGTATTTTCTCTTGTTTCCCCTGGTTTTCTGTTCATCGTGTTTGTTTGAAAGGCAATTTTCCTCCTCATAATGTAGCACGATTTGCTCTTAGGATAGATGAGAAGTATATTTATTTAGATTAGCGGCTACTAATAATATTTTAACACAGTTTTGCTTACCTACATGAACACACATACAATATAGTACAAGCGGATAAAAACAAAAACCTTTTACGTATACAATACACACGTATTACCAATGCAATTCTGATGATATTATGGCTGGATTAATATTGTAATTATTGTGACGAAAAATGGTAGTTGAATTTTTTTTTGAAAAAATTTTTTTTTTTTTGACATATTTGTTGTTATTATAATATATGCGCCAATCTAATTTCTCATATTCAAATTTTTAACTGCAATTGATAAGATAATTATTGAAAAATGGTTTATCATTTTCTAGTATAAAACCTCAAAATCATATCTCTGTTATGAATCAAAGTTTTCTTTTGATGGCTTATTATAAATCAAGTTATTTATCCCCAAAAAAAAAAATTATAAATGATCTCCTATATCTTCCAATAGGCCTAGGGACAATAACCATCTCGTATGCTTGTCATGTGTGTGTGTGTCTATATATATATATATATATAT